TCACCAATGTATCAAGTCCACTGTCAGCTGCTGGAAGTCATGACAACAACTATGGCAGACGACTTCGGACTAGGTGCGTTCTACTAAGTCGCCCTGACAACAAGACCAAGTTGCGACAACAACCCACTTCTGCCCGTTTAGGCTCACAACCCCACTCGCGAGAGCATCTTCTCCATCTCGGACCAGCCACTCAATCGAAAGGAGACTGCGACCATAACAGAGGTCACAACATCTTGGTCTTCATATATTCAATTAGACGAATTAAGCCGGTTAGTTCTGACCAAGTGACTTGACTTCAGATTGTACTTGCGTCGAGGCTTCGCACCCTCAGAAAGCCGCCAATCCGCTGGGACCCATTCGGGCGACAGGATCAAGCCAGCAGAGTTTGAACTGCCTGTCCAGTCTTTAGGCAGCGTCAGGGCCGATGACTGACACAAGCAAGTCGAGCCGCCGGATTTCCGGCGAGGTCTCGAGGCGGAAATAGTGAAGCCCGGGCTGATGTCTAAAGTCTCGCAATTTTGTGAATGTCTCGTCAGTTGCGGGAATTTGCATTTCCATGTCGCTCTGCGTCGTCGATCGTGGTGCTGTGCAACATATGACAAAGGGCTGGGTTCTGAAGGACCCTTGAATCGAGTCCAGCTAGCATTAGCGAGCCTAATTCATCGTTGATAGTCTGATCTAATCTGACAAGATGTTCGCATAAATCTCCACAGTCAGAGAGAGCTCTTTTTAGCTGCCCTTTCATACATGCTAATGAGGGACCTAGAGATTATCTAAAGCTGCGCCTAAATATCACCAAACACGGACTCTATCCGGTATTACTTGGCAAATTACTTTCCTTATATGAAATGTATTCACCCTATTTCGTTTAAGGTGATGAAGGACTGGTAGAAGAATAATTGTACCACAATGATATGAGTAGAGCTGACGTTTCCGTTCAATTTCACATTACCTTGCTTTCCCAAAAGTTGTTCTCATCCAGGCTGAGGTGGACTGCATTTTGGACGTCGCTTTGGTCTTTTCAACACTCCCGGCAAGAGTAGAACCGTGGCAGTGCAGAATGCGAGCTTGACAAGTCAATCACGAGTGCTCTTTGGTTACAGGGCAGATTTCGATTTCATGGAAGGCCAAGTCTTTTCCCATATCACATTATTTGGTGGGATTGTCGATGAAGCAAACGTATTTTTACTATAACAATCGACTACGTCACTTATTTTTCGTATGGTAGTAGAGTTTCGAGACTACCAGTAGATCAGTACTAGTGGCAATGTGTAAAGCTCACATTCTGCACTGTCGCGGTTCGACTCCCGCTGGGGCTGTTGATAAGACCGGCGCGAGGTCGAAACTGCAGTCAACTCCTGTCTGGAGGAGAACAACTTTTGTAAAATCGAATGGAAACGTCAGTTCTACTCATATCATTGTGCGGAAATTCTATTACCGGTCCTTCATCAACTTAAATGAAATAGGGTGAATACATTTTATATTAAAGTGATTTGGTTAGCTCAAGTTATATGCCTTTCTAGAAGCAATTACATGTGCCTGTTTGTGTGTTCTCGTAAACAAATACATAGGTTGGCATATGAAGTGAACTAACCAATTTATAGAAGTGTGTTGACCTCGTTGTCGCAACTTGGTCTTGTTGTCAGGGCGACTTAGTAGAACGCACCTGGTCCGAAGTCG